GTATATATACAGTATATAACTCCTGGGAGGAGCTCGCTTGCTCTCTCTCTCTCTCTCTCTCTCTCTCTCTCTCTCTCTCTCTCTCTCTCTCTCAATCATCTCAGAGCTGGAAGGATCTTTCTGCTGAGATACAAACATGAGGCTTTCAGGGCTGCTCATCGTGTTTTTTATTATCTTTGCTGAGCAGGAAAAATTTGGGATGTCTCACCATCCCAAACCAGCCTGTCGGTATCCTCCTTCTCAGTGGTGCCATTCTCTGCAGATAGCCATTGAATGTAAGGTAAGTTAAACATTAATTTGAAATAAATGAAGGTAAGGTATGTGTTTTTATTTAAAAATTGCTGTGTAACTAGTGTTGTCGGGTCTGCAACTGTGGTTCTGAAGCCACTTGTGGCCCTAAGACTTTCTGAAGGGGCCTTTTTTTTTTACCTTAAACAAAAAGTACATTTACTTAAACCTAATTTAATGGGAAAAAAAAGGTAAAATTAGCTAATTTTAGCACTGTTCACAGCAGAGTTGAAAGTTTTTTTTTTCTGGTCTGAGCTCAAATGAAAGTCATGCTTCAGAGATTGAGCACCAGAGGGTTTTCATGTGACCAAGCAGAGCAGTTGTGGGTCAGATGGCTTCAAACTGCACTAAATGCTCAAATATTTAATTTTGGGTGAAATAATGGAGCCTTTACGTGCATTTGTGTTTATTTTGCATACAAGTTATTAATGACATAGTTTGTAATCTTAGATTTGTTTTTATTGTTTGCCTCTGTTTCAGGTCCAGAAGCAGTGCATGGAGCTCAACGCCATCAGGCCAGACCAGAGCGCTCCTCGAGTGTCCGTCACTCTTTACTACGAGAGCTTGTGTCCGGATTGCAGGTATTTTATCACCCAGCAGCTGTTTCCCACCTGGGTAATGCTGCGGGACATCATGTCCATCACGCTGGTGCCCTACGGAAACGCTAAGGTGAGTTTATCATCCCTCCTRGCTTGCAGCTGCTTTCAGGGGAGGAACCGTTTTGAACATCCTCGTGTTGTCTCATCATCTGGCTCCCTTTGTAGGAAACTTTATCAGCAACTTCTCCCTTCACCTGCCAGCATGGAGCGCCTGAATGTAGAGCCAACAAGTTTGAGGTTTGCAAACACCTACACCTTATCTTTTTTTAAAGAGATTTCAGACTGATCAGAACCTCCCTCAGGCCTGTATCATCCATCTAACTGGAACCCAACTTGCCCTTCAAATCATCTTCTGCATGGAGTCCTCTGCAGATGTCCTCAATGCGACACAGCCAGTAAGTATTAAGTTTTTATTTGTTTTTTTTTTTTTGTTTTTGCATGTTTAATAGTAATAACAATTGCTCTCTCCAAAGTGTCTCCAGCTATACGCTCCCTCTGTGTCCTGGTCCAGCGTTGACTCTTGTGTGAGCGGACGTCAGGGGTACCAGCTGATGCACGGCCACGCCGCCATGACCAGAGCTCTGAATCCTGCCCCCACGCATGCCCCCTGGGTCACTTTCAACGGGGTAAACTGATTTTTAGTGTCAGATTGAGTCAAGATGGCCGCCACAGCCAAGCCAAGGATGCAGTGTTGTAATACTCTAGACTGGTCTGCAGTTGTGGGCACGGTTCCCCTAAAGCATTAAAGCACTAATAAGGGAACTAATTTCCTGATTAGCGCTTTTGCTAATTTCTTAATTCATTAGTGGATTAGCACTTGCTAAATTTTTGGGCTAAATTTATAAACACTAATCGAGTTCTTTAAATGTTATTGATCAACATCATTGTCAACAGCTGAGGGTGAAAGCTGTCAGACGTGTTGGTCATATGTGTTATCAACTAGATCAGAGGTTTTCAAACTATTTTGCTTCTGACCCACAAAATAACAGTTTCAGACACTCATGACTCCAGATATTACTTGTTTATGTATGTAAACTTTGCTAATAACTCTAAACATGGGAATAATTACTACAAACAAACCTAGTAACTACGATACTAATTTTTATTCATTTATGGTTGTTTTAAAAAAATGCAAAAATCATGGTGAAAATATTCCATTAGCATTTTTTTGCATTTAAATTGATGTCTGGAAATCATCTGGAGACCCTCACTTGATGTTTTGTGACCCACAAAGAAGTCTCGACCCCAACTTTGGGAGCCACTGCACAAGATGAAATATTAACAATATTCTGCACACAGACAGTATTGTCTCATGTTGACTCTGAGGAGTGTTCCATGGGTCAGCTGGGTTTTTAGTGCTTTAGAATTAGCTTTTGCTAAATTTTTTAAGTGTCTTAGTGCTTTAGAATTAGGGGACCTAAATATTAAAATTAGTGCTTTAGAATTAGGGGACCTAAATATTAAAATTAGTGCTTTAGAATTAGGGGACCTAAATATTAAAGTTAGTGCTTTAGGGTTAGTGCAACTAAGTTTTAGATTAGTGCTGCCCACCGCTGCTGGTCTGGGTCCTGTCTCTGACTCCAACGAATATTGTCAGTGTTGTATAAAGTACCTCAAAGTGATACTTGAGTAAAAGTACAAGTATCTTATCATAAAAATATTTTGGTAAAAGTTAGTCTTCTCTAAAAATATTACTTGAGTAAAAGTCTTAAAGTATCTGATATTTTTTGCACTTAAATATCAAAAGTTAATTTCTGACAAAATCTACTTAAGTGTTAAAAGTAAAAGTACTGAGTAAAAGTGAGCAATTAGATTTTCCAAAATGACATTTATTGGGAGGTGACGTCTCCAAAATATATTTTTTCTAACGGCGTGCAGCTGTGATGGGTTGTGTACAAGCTAATAGTGTGTCAGAATGGTTTATATTTATACTTCTCATCCAACCACAATTAAATTCACTCTATCCAGGAGACAATTTATCAGGATAGTATTTTTTTAAGTAATAACTCAGAATAAAACAGGAGTAACGACTTTCTACTTCTTAACTTTTTAAAAAATGTAGTGAGTAGAAAGTACAGATAATTGTGTAAAAATGTAATGAGTAAAAGTAAAAAGTACCCTGAAAAACAATTACTCAAGTAAAGTACAGATAACCAACATTTCTACTTAAGTACAGTAACAAAGTATTTGGTTACTTTACAACTCTGAATATTGTTCAATTTGTTTGCCAACATCTGGTTTTTATTAGATATAAAACGTACTGATTCAAATCTAAGCGTGATTCATTGCTAATTCTGTATTTTTGTTATCGATGTCATGCATCCCCACTTTGGCATGTGGCACTCCAAGAAAGTGAGCAGTGGTTGTCTGGGAATAAGAAAAGATATCTGTAAAATCTTCAGTGATCTAAAATTCAGCTACATAAATCATAAAGAATATATTTGTAAAACAACATTCAGAAGAACAGTGATTTGCAAATTCTGCAGTGATTCGTCACTTAGAAAGGAAGCACAAAGAAAGGTAAGCAATGTTAGCAAAGCTAGCTAGCTAGTCTCTGTATCAAAATTCTAACACAAAGAAATGGGCTGTGTCTAAATTCAGGGGCTGCATCCTTTGAAGGACCCAGCCCACTTGGTCTAGGTGGGCCAGGTCCTTTGTTGACCGCGAAAACCGTGGCTGTGAATTCGACTGGTCTAGCTTTGAGCTTTATTCCTGCCCTTTCCCCGGCATATGTCCTGTCACAGTGCTAAACAGAAGCAATAAAGACTGAAAATAGATCCAAATGAGCAAAAATATTAAAATTATATAGTAAATGAACAAAATTACTTTAGAGCAGGGGTGTTCAAAGTGTGGCCCGGGGGCCATTTGTGGCCCCTGAACTGATTTTGTGTGGCCTTTGACTTCAGTTCAAGAGTTATACTAATCTGTTTACAAATTTGTCCCCCCGGCACAGGTGTTTGATCTAGATGGAGACTTTTTTTTATTTATTTTAGGGCAAATTTATCACAAAGTAAAATCTTACAATAAAAAAATATTGGCAACAATACCAATTATTTGTCTTTAGATAACCAGGCTCTTAGCTTTTTCCACATCTATCTAGTGACTTCTACCCAAAAGCTGATTTTGCTGCACTCCAATCTGCTTTAAATTATACAATAAATTTGTCTGAACAGCATTTTCAACAAAAGAGTGACTTAATCCTGATTTTATTCATCAGAATAGACTAAATTGGTTTATTTTTTCCCCAAATTGAAACCTAGAAAATTGCTAAATTTCTTTTAATAAGGGAATCCTACAAAACACTAGAATGTGAACACAGCCAAAGTCTGTGTTAAGTTTGCTACTTGTGTACAGTAGCTAAACTGTATGTTTTAGGGCATTTGCTTCTTGTCTTTGTGTTTTCTCCTCAGTCTTGGTCTTGACTAGATCTGAGCCCCAGAAAGTGTTGGCTTTGTCTCATTGAAACTCTGGTCTTGGGTTAAGTGGTCTTGACAACAACACTACAAGGATGTGATTGAAGGGTCCTGAACTGTTGTGTTGCAGGAATACACAGAAGAGAATGAAGAKAGGGCGATGTCATCACTCTTTCATCTGGTCTGTGAGCTCTACAGGGTGAGGACTGATGGAAACATCAGTGTTTTCTTTTATGTCTACAGCGTTTAAAGAGAGGTCAAGTCTTTGACTTTGTCCTGTTCTTCACAGGGGGTGAAACCTCCAGCCTGCACTGGAGCTCCAGTCAAACTGAGCAGAAGTGTTTGCTGAACACAAAATTCACACAAATGTGTGTTTATACAGGAGCAAATGAAATGTGACACTAATGTTCATGCAAAAATAAATAAATTCATTGTTTGATTTTTGGAACTCTTTTCCCTTTTGAAACGATCAAAAATAAACACAAAATTGAATTAAATTTTCATATAATTTATTGGCATTTTTTCAACGTAAAACACCCTGAACTCCAGAGATTCTTTTGGCTTCAAATGCAAAAAAAAAAAAAAAAAAAAAAAAAACAAGTTTAATTTCTTTTTGACAAACATTGGAGTGGCAGACTTATACAGAACTGTAAAATATACTTGTTATTTTAGGCTCCAGAACATAAAATCAAATATTCCGTTACAGTACTTTTTTTTCTTGACAAATTTTCTTTTTTTTTTCAAAGAATAAATATTTAGACATTTGCACGACACCAGAGAAAAATTGAGACAACGTGAATGAAGGCAGTTTAAACACAGTGAACGCAGGGATGCTCCTGCCTATTAACACATTTAACACTAAGTGGCGCCGCTGAGCCACCGTGCTGAAATTAGGACGCTGATTTGTTTTATTTTCTTCCTCAGACTATTCAACTGGAAGATAAATAAAAAGGTATTAAAAACTTAAAAAGAATCCCACATGATGAAAATAGTTTAATTTCCAAATCAAGTGTTTGAAATGATTTTTTTAATTTATTGTGCCAAAACATTTGATTTACATTAAACCAAAACTGAATGTTTACAAAATAAATAATTACATTTCAGCTGGAAAAATAAGTAGATTAAAAATTGCTTTTTTAAAGCAATTCTTAAAAAAATAATGTGAAATATTTGACAGTTCCGTTTTTAAACACAAACATGTCTGCAAAAAATGAGCTTGCACGCATTTGTCTTTGTTAGCTAAATATACGAATTAGTAAACAGATTATAATAAATGTACGAAAAAATTAACACTATAATTGCGGTTCATTTATTAACTTTTAGAGTCCTCTTGATTCAAGATGGCTGCCTCAGCTGATCGACCTTAGCCAAATACAAAAACAAATATAACTCCGTCATTTTGAGAGATAATAAGCTGAAATTTGGTGTTGTAGTAGCTGAGAGTCATACTTAATGTACACTCTGAACATTAAAAATATGATTCAAGATATTTATTTAAAACTTCAGATAACAGGAAACATGTTTCTTTCAAGAATACTAGTTTTTAGGTGAAGCTTCAAGCTTTGCAAAACTAATGAATTCAATGATTTTATAGCTAATGGTTTTTAAAAACAACTGGTTCTGACTTCTACAGGTGGTTAAACCTTTAAAAAAGTAAAAGCTGTGGATTACATTTTGTTATCATGTTAATTAAACGGTTTAAACTTAAAGTTGGTATTCACTTTACTGTTACTGAAAATAATAAAAACCTTTTGAATTAACTCAGGATTTTGAAATAAAACGCCTAAATACTGAATGAAATCACTGATTCAGTGAGATCAGCTGAAGTTTAGGAAACCAAATATCTTTAGTTATGACTGGTTAAAGTTTATGCTGAAAGGGGAAATAAAAAGTCTGAGGATCAGCCTCTAAAAGCAGCACAATGGTCCTTTAACACAAGGCTTAATCCTCTCCTACAACAATAAGGCTGATCAATAAAGCTCATTATCTTAAAATAATAAAATACTGTTAGACTAGTGTTTTCTACAACCAGGTGGATCGTATCTTGTAGTGCTGGCTTACCGCCTGGTTATTCTACCTCTGAGACAAACACTACTTCGGACTCAATGTTGAACTTATTACAGAAAATAAAAACAGAAAAACGTGAAACTACACACATTCTCGGGTCTCAGCTATCTGCTTAGCAAAAGGGCTCAACGAACTGCTTCGAAAGCTGCACTAAAACCTACTGCTTTTAAATACTGGTAATAACGAGTGTCATTTGTAAAAACTAACACTATAAAGTTAATGACGTCGATACAATCATCAGTTTAAAATCTCTAGTGTAAAAATGTACAGCTTTGTAGGCTGGCAGGTGTGTGTATACAAGTGTGTGTGTGTGTGTGTGTGTCCAACACATTTAGTCCCAGCTGAGCCGGTTCTACCCAAACATGACCCATAACCTGACGGGACGCGATCCATTGTGTTTGAACTACAGTTTTATAACTCGGCTCTACGGCAGGACCTGCTGGCAGGGCGAGGAGGTGAAGCAACAAGCTGAGTTTTATCTTAAGTTCATATTTAGTAAACTAATTATGTCAATTTGGCGCCGTAGGCCAGACTTCAGGCGGCGCTCCTTGTGCAAATTTGCGTACATTTACATACCAAATAAAAATGTCAAAGTTTTGTCTTTGATATTATTTTTCATCTTTAGAAATCAAGATTTGGTTTGTAAACGCTGTCCAATTTAAATAAAGCTACTCAAATCTCTGCATTTTCCAGTCATTTGAAGAYTATTTTACTAAATTACTGGGATTAATAAAACATAAAATCAGTATTTTATGAAGGCAGAACACTGGAAACTAGACTTTAATCTGAACTTTATCTGAGATCATAACTGAAACTTCCATTATCCTTATTTTGTTTTCTATTTACACACTGAGCACCAGCAGTTCGTCTGGACTGCATCATTTGATATTTTGATCTGCACCATTTAACCTCATTGTAACAAAGTAGAACAAGTTACCTTCATAAACTCGAGTAACCAATGATTAAATCAATTATACTCTGATAAAAAGTTATCCGTTTTTTTCATCCCCCATTTTTGACGCCCTCCAAATGACAGCYCCCTCAGCATTAGCCTACACTGCCTATGCCACAGGCAGGCCCAGTTGCTTCCAATAACAAAATGTGTTGATGTTTTAGGACCAAACCAAAGATTTTCAAAGCAAAACTTATTTCCATTGTGTTTTCTTTTTTTATTACATTAATTGGAAATGAATGAAACTATTATTGCTTTATCAAACACTAGTTCTTCATTGAGGGGATGCCATCCTTGTACATTTAAAATGTAAGATCAAAGGTCTGCCTTTTACTAGAGCAGAAATCTAATTTTCTATTTAACTTTTTTGCATAAATTTGTGCAGAAGTGTTCAGTTAATGACTCAGATTAAGATTATCCTCTGTGACACAGATGCCGTCTCGTTACAGTAAGCCGGTTTTTATAGTTATGAGATTATTAGCCGTATTATTGCCTGTATGATTTAACAACCTAATCTGTAGATGGTGAAACACCTCACAAAATGCCTCCCAAAGTCTTAAACTTCATCCCTGACCTCTAAAGAATCAGGATTTTCTTTTCTCAGGTGTTAGTTCGAGCCCCGCCCTGCCGTCCGGTTCCCTGTAGTCAAAAGTCCTGTACAGTTTTTGCGATCGGTAGGCCTACAGTGGGTGAAGCCCTTTATGTGACTGAATAGAAGAGCTGAACGGTAAAGACGGTAAAGTGCTACTGCGGACCGGAGGCACCCTGATTTAAAAATAAAAGTCAAAATAATAGTTACGCACAGAAACACACGTGACCAGCAAACATACAACAAAAGACCAGTATGGAAATAAAAACATCTAAAATATAAGATAAAATAGAACAAAAGCTCAAACTAATTATACAGGTGGTGTCTTTTTTTTTGTCGTCACTTTAACAAGGTGAGACTGGGGTTCAGTCTAAAGTGTTCAGTTCTTCATGGTGCTACAGGCTGGTTTGTTTGATTGCCTCAACTGCCGGATTCTCTATTAAAGGGATTTAAATAAACACACGTATTCAATAAAGACTCTTGTGTTTGTGGTCTGTAGTCGAACAGGAAAGACGGTTTGGGGGGTTATTCAGTAAATCTGTGCTACATTAGGTTTATGCTTCTCTTCATACCCTGAGGTTTAGGTCCATTTTTTTCTCTGCTCATCTACATCCTGTATTTGGTTAAATGATTCATTTCACACATCATTCCTTGAAAAAAAAAATGAAATCATTCTCACGTTTTATCCCCGACTCAAATATCTCACATCTTAAATGAAAAACTACGGTGCAAAATAATTTTCAAGACCCTGTCACACCACTGTGATCCTCATTCGCTGCTCACGTTCAGATCTCACAGTTATTTTTTATTTTTTTTGGAGGAAGACGTTTCCTTTAGTTGTGTTACCTTTCGTTTGAGTGCAGGCCTGGACTCCATTCTTTGTTCCAGATTCAATGCAGCAGTTTTTTTATTATTATTATTTTTTTTAATCTGGAAATCTCCCAAGCTGCAGCTACAACCAACCAGGACTGAASGTAAAGGCCTGTCAGGCACTCAGACAGAGGCTAAAATGATTCGTGTCACTGAAAATAAAACTTAAAAAAAGAAGAGAAAAAGACAGAGGAGAGGTGTTCCTCTGTTCTCCAGAGTGGGTGTCTCCAGTGTAAAGGGACTGTGGTGATTTTACAGACATTATTGGACATGCGCCCTCCGTCCGGCGCTCCAGTCTCAGACAGGACGGCCCCCCCGTGCCGGTCACTACGTGCCCATCCGCAGGCAGGCCACTCCGTCGCTGTCCTGGCTCAGCTCCCGGTCCCTGTCCACGCCCTCCTGCCCCGGTGAGCCCAGCGTCCTGTGGGGGCGGGGGCTGCGCACGGACATGGAGGCCAGACTGAGCGACCGAGATGGGTGAGGCGACGGGGGGCGATACCTGTTGCTGTTCATGCGAGGGTTGGGGGACAGGGATGGGGAGGAGGAGTCCCGGTGCCRGTCTCCYCCCACCTGGGWCTCCTCTTCTAAGGGGCTTTCCAGGTCAGACTCCGCCTCCTCGTCCTCCTCCTCCTCCTCCAGGGTGAGTTCAAACTGGAACTTGTCTCCTCCTCCTCCTGCTGCAACTTCGTCTGCCGGCTCCACCTCGGCGTGGTGCTCGTCGGGGCTCGTGGGCGACGGGCTGCGGGGGATCATGCTCTGGTACCACTCCCGGTTGTCCTCCAGCGTGTCCAGGATGTCCTGCGCGTCAGGGTGCACCAGGTCCGCCCAGGTCTCCCACAGAGGGTGCACTATGTAGTCAATGAACCCCACCTAGACATGAAAAAAAGAAAATGTTTAAACGTTAAATAAAAAAGGCAATAAAGAAGAAAAACAGTTTTTATATGTGTTAGCAAAATATCTCATGAACCACTGAACAGATTTTTAATGAATTTCTCAGTAAAGTCTAATTAGACAGGATTTTATCAAGTAAAATGACTATTCTTGAAGTGACTGTGTTGTAGAAGGAGGCTGACATATTCTTTTTTCTCACAAATAATTATCCAGATAAAATATAACATTTTTCCAACTGCAAGAGTGAGAAGGTTGAATTTTAAAGATTTTTAATAGACCAGATGGGCCTGTTGTGTTGTTCTCGTGCTCTGTGCAGACCTCAAGGTTAAAGAATAAAATCACCTCATTGATTTGATTCAGACTAAAACTCACTAAATTAAAAACTAAACACTTTAAATTATACCTTATTATAATATCCAAATATGCTAAATATCAAAAATCTAATGTCTCAGTCCTGCTCTCACCATCTCTGCAAAACTTCATTCAACTTTCGCATCTTTTTATTTTCCTAATTTTTTTCTAAACATAACCTTAACTTTGGGCCTTGGTCAGAAAGGAAGTCGGGGTTTTATGTTTTTTTCGGCTGCAGAGGAACATGAAAATAATGGTGGCCTGAGGTATTTTTTCCATGATATTTCCGTGTTTCCTGCTGCTTCAGGCTGCAACGTTCTTCAAATAGGATGACCATTTTAAAAAAAAAAAAGTGGTGTAAACTATTTATCACAACAGTTTATCTGAACCAAACTACTTTCCCCAACAAAAAAATGGAGGATGCAAACACGTGACGGATGACATTACGTCMACTTTGAGGATCTGCAGTGGTGAGCACAGCTAACGAAAGAGTTAGGTTCACTAACCACTAATGCTAACTGCTAAAATGTCTAACTTGCAATACTTCCCGTTTGCCTCTTTCAGAGTAAAAACATTTCTTTGATCGAGTTTGAATTTTTTATAAATAAGGTTTGAAGTTACTCAAACAAAAAAGTAGCAAATACTTTATCATATTTTACACGTTGTCAATTTTCCTATTTGTTATTTAAATGTTATTATATATTTTATTTCATTTTTTGATGCACTTAGAAGTTTAGCTGCTAGCGATGCTACACACCCATCCAGTGCTGCTTGTAAGAGGGGATACTGGTAGTTTTTATATAATTTGGGTTTAACGACATTTTACACTTCTGAAATTTTTTGAGGACTTAAAATTAGCAGAAAGGAAGTTAATTTGTCCACTAATGGTTTCCACAGTTAGCACAAAAGCTAATTCACTAAATGAGAAGCTAGTTTGCTATTAGCAGAACTGTGCTTATCGACAATCTGTTTGAATAAATAAAGAGTGTGTGCGTTACCTGGCTCTTTTCTATGGAGGCGTTGTGTTTGTCACACATGGGACTGATCTCCATGCCTTTGTCCCGCTCTCTGTCTCCCTGCGTGAAGAACTCCACCATGATGCGGTCCGTCCATTTGCGGTAAAGCTCCAGTGGTTTTGTTGGATTACTCAAGTCAGCACAGTGGACCATGTTCTGTAGAACCTGAAAGAATGTAGTGTGTGCTTCATCAGACACTGTTTTTATGGTTTTAATAGCCAAACATGTAAAAAAAAAAAAGTTTGGGACTTTTCTGACCTGGATGCGGTCAGAGTAATTGTCCAGCAGCAGAACTCCTAAACTCGTCACTTTCTTGGTCTCCACCATCGTCTTCATGTCTGCCAAGAAGTTCATGTGTTTGGACATATCTGTGGCCAGCACCTACACAGGATTACGACCCAAACACGTCACCTTCAGCTGCGCTTTTAATTCAAATGTGTTTTGTTAACGTGGAACATCAAACTAGAGACAATAATGATCTTTAGGATCATGGTTTTAAATTTAACTACATAAAATAGCTTATTTACTGAACCTGCGTGCTCTCAATCCAATTACATTTAGATTATATTCCCAAGATGACACCAATCCTTCATATAAACTAAGAAAAAACATAAAATAGCAGCACGACTGACCATGTCGATCACCATCTTTCGGAGGGAGTCTTTCTGCTTCTTGCTGAGGTTTTGGAAGATGTCACAGTTTTCCTCCTGCAGTAGTTTGAAGCCCACAGCAAGGTGATGGTTCTCCAGAACTGAGGAATCATTGTACATTAGCGCCAATTCAGAACCTGCAAGACAAAGAGTTCAAATCTTCAAACAAAGATATTATATATATATATATATGACACACACAGTTTGTATTTCTATCCTATTAGGCCCGTTCATCATCTCCCATTCATTTCCAGTTATTTCTGTAGCCTAATCCTGACCTCTTACCCAAAACCCAACCCTCCCTGTACATACCTAATCCTGAACCTAAACTCAACTCAGACCTTGGTCCTAAACCTAACCCCCAACCTAAAAATGGAATTCTACCATATTAGGACTGGTCTTTGATCTCCATAAGGACGACTGGTCTTAAAAAAGGTCCTAAAAAGGTGACAAATACAAGACCACACACACAAACAAATATTATATACAGTATATTCATAAAGGGATTAAAATCAATAAGTTGCTTTCATTTGAACGTCACAATGCAGTACAGCGAAATGCAGATGGYGGGCAGGAACTAAAGTAGCGGAGTATCTGCCGTCTGAAAAAATGRCCGTTTTGTGTAGTTTATGGCTGCTCTAATCGCTCTAACCAAGAAAAGGAAAAGGGGTATTATTGAGTATTAAAGATTGTCATACACAAAGGTGAGAATGCTCWCAGAACAATGCTGTAGAAAGTGGATTTTAAATTTACGTCTGTGTTTGGGAGTCGCAGAGTCTGCTAATGCCAATGTCWGCAGCGACCACTTCGTCAGAMGTGTTAGCTAGCTAACTTGTTTTATACATTTATTTTTGTGCTGTGTTTATAAAGCATTAGGTTGTCAAAAAATGTATATTTAGTGATCATTATGWTACAGATAGTCTAATAATATGGACTTCATTGAGCTATGTGTCGTTAGGTGTTGCATGTTTGCTGGTTAGCCGCTACTGCTAGCATCTTAACATATGAAACAATAAGTGCTGAAACAACTCCTTGAATAATTCAAGTAATTCCAGTAATTTSATTACTAAAAATCCTTGAGGCAAATTGAAGCTTTGTTAAAAATAGGTTTTGTTAAACTATTCAGTGCTCTTTTGTCCGTCCGGAATGTTATTAATGTTGCACAATGCTAGTGCTTACGCTAAAGGCTACACTGTTGACGATATATGCTAGCTAAGCGCTATTTTTATCTATGGAGGGAGACAAAGACARATTTGTGAACTAATTGCTGGTATCTTTGTCTTGAAAATGGATCTCAATCCATACGATTTGGAGTCTCTACAACAGTTTCCTGCATTAACAATTTACTTCCTGCCCTGCACTTCAAAGCCACGTGAATAAAACCCAGTTAATATTATGGTAACTTGGACTCAAACACAAATTTCTACATTAATCTACAGAAACTGAAAATCTTATTTATGTTGTGTTGCAGCTGAGCACAGAGACCAATAGGAACCCACTGGTATTTATGAGGAACTGGTTGGTGACTCCTGGATGGTCGACATCATGAATGGCGCTGGCGAACAGAGCAGCCATGATCTCCAGGTCTGTGAACACCGCCTTGGATGATCAAAAAAAACAATAAAAAAGGGGCATTGAAAAAAAAAAAAAAAACAAGGAACCTGGAGTTTAACTTGCTCATGGGGATTTGCTGAGCTCACCTCTAAAGCAGGGGTGGACAGGAGGACATGGGTGGACTGCACGACGTCGGCTGCATGGATGTTGTTGTGGTAAGCTACATCTGCATGATAGTGGTCCTCTAATGTCATCATAAAGGTAATGAAGGTGTTGATTGGCACCTTGAAGGTTTTCAGAAGATCTCGCTCCTGACAGCYAAGATGAAAAATAAAAACACAAAAATCAAACCACTGAAAGAACAGACAATGAAACCATGCAGGTTGTGGAATGACAGCAGCTTCTTTACCTGGAAGATGGAGTACATCATCACCGTCAGAGGGCGGTTTCCTGAATATTCTGCTAATTTGAAAATATCCATACCCCAGCGATTGATGTCTTCAATTTCCTGTGAGGTAAAAACAGCAAGACATGTAAAACACAGTAGATTTCTGTCTTTATTTTGTCGTCCCGTTGGTGACCCCCACCTTTGCCAGCAGGCTCTCATGAGGTGTGTTGACTCCAAAGCGAGGAATGCAGGCGGGCGCTAAGCTCGGGCTTTGTGTGACCTTTTTCACACCGCTGATCTGTGACATCGGCCTCTTCTTCTTCTCCTTCTCCTTGGTTGGTGGAGACAGGATCTCCACGTCATGTTGCTTCTCTGCAACATGGAAAAACAAACAAACAAAAAACAAACATGATGCGACGAACGAGTCATGAAAACAGGACCCTTTATTGCCTCTGCTGCTGTTACGATGAAACTAAGAAGATAAATCAGTTATTGATATGAAAAAAAGTGCATGAATGTGTGTTTGTTACTAAAATGATTCCTGACCCATTGGATGAATTTTAATTAAACTAGCAGAAAGTAATTATTGGATATCTTATTCAACATGCCTGCCACAGCCAACTCATCTTTGCAAAAACAAAAACGGCTGAATTTATTCAGGTTTACTGATGTTGGGCTAAAGTTTGGTGGCAGTTGCTGAGAGACATCCTCTATTATTCTAAACATCTTTTGAGATTTCATAATTACAAATCATGCATAACTCCACATTTCTCTTCATAAACTATTTTATATTTAAAACAGTTTTATAGATTTAGACTTAAACTGTAAAAATGTYAAAAAGTAAAAATGTGAGCCCTAGAAAGCCGTAACTCTGATGGGAGAAATATTTTATAAACACTGAGATTTACTCTGAGGTGGGAAATATCACAATAAACTTAAAGTGCCTGTGGCATCAAATTTTTATAATAAATATGAATGTATTTTTGCAAAGATAGCATTGATAACATATTGTAAAAAAGATTTCATACCATTGAGATGAACAGTCGTTGAGATATTCGCATGTAAAGAAACAGGAAGTGATGTCAAATGGGAATGTCTGAATGTAAACAGAGCATTGCTAAAAAGGCTAACAGCACAGACTAGAGAAGAATGTGATGTTTCTTTAGATTACTCTAATCATAAAGAGATAAGAGAGTCATAGTTCAAATAAAAATGTTTCAATAAACAAAAACCAGGGAGTTTTCTCTCTCAAAAAGTTCCCCTTTGATGTCACTTCCTGCTTCACTTTAGCTGAGCAAAATTCAAAAGAAAATATGCCAATTATGTGACATAACAGGTCAAATTTCAAGTGTGATTTTTTTTCTTTGTGTATAAAATTTTTATTTTTATATGAAATTAATAAATGAATAAATTAAAATAAATCATGTGTATTATGCCACGTTTCTTAAATATATATTCTTTGACTTTTTTGTATTTCATGGATATGCATGTCACAGGCACTTTGACCACACTGTGAAATAAATAAATACCATGAAACCCTACTGACTATATAATATGGTGACACAAAAATATTTATAAAATACCTACAAATTAAGAACAGACTAAATTTWAATAAGAAACCAATTTCCCTCTAATTGATCATAGATAATAAATTGTTTACAGTTCAACAAACATTTTATCATGTTTAAATTTTTCCTTGCATTTCTAATCAAGCCGAGTGCTTCATTTCAACCCAATATGAGTGAACCAATAAAATTACTAATCCCAGTTTAAAATATCAATGTGTATTATGAAAACAATGTTAGTCATGTGAAGGAATTTTAATTTAGGAAGTTTTTTTTAAGATTTAACACGATTTTACAATCGTAGGCAGAGGATACCTGCAGCAGAAAGGACGTCTAACTTTTTTAAAAATGTAAACAAGTTAGTTTAAAAAAATGGTGCAATTATGTCCTCCCCAAAAAGGATGATGAAATTCATTCAACAAAACAACAAATGCTAATAAATCTGCTATCTAAACCAGGTTTCCATCATAAAACAAACATGATCTCTATACGATCCGGTGACACGAAGGTGCTGTCCCAGCAGACATGCTTGTGTTAAAATGACTCATCCTCTTTTTTTTGTTAAATCCAAGGAAATAATAATCCTACTTCACCATCAAACAGCCTGTTTTACCTCATCTCAACACATCTTCCTTTGTATCTTCGAGCCTTGATTTATTTATTTATTTTTAATCAGCCAAGCAGCGACGAGCGCCTGAACAACATCCAGATCTGGACGCCAGCACACGCCACTGTGAAGACGCACGACGACCTGAGCGTCTGGCTCCCCTCACCTCGCTCGCAGTGCCTCCTCTTCCTCACACCCGGAGCCACGGAGCTCATTTCCAAACGCTGCCGGGCTGGAGGCGCTCATCTCAGGACGGCACCCGACTGACTGCTCCATCCTCGCTCGGCCGGACCATCCTGCCCCTCGGAGGGGCTCGCTGGAGACTGAGCCTCCTATTGATGCAGCGCGCCGTCGAATAATATTGAACCCTGTTGCCACGACAACGCCACACAATGTGTCCGGGAATGCTGTCTGCTGCCGCGCCTCCTTTTGCTTCAGAAGAGGAGAGATCCCAGCCCTCCTTCATTTTGTAGTATCTTTCCTCTTCTTTAGAATCGTATTTTTTTATTCACTTTAAAAAAAAAACAACTTTCAATTTACCTTCCATTGTCCAACCATAAACTCCTCTTTGTGTTTTTTTCCCTCACATAAAAACAACACTTCTCTAATTATCAATCATACTTTAAAAAAAAAACATGTTTAAAAACTCCTATTCCAGCCTACTTTCCTGTGCTCTACATTTACTGAAAGGCAGCTGGAGTCGATGCTGAATCAATGTGAGTGAAACCAGGTGCTGCATTTATGCAAATCAGCCTGATTTAGAGCAGAGCTGCTCCACAAACAGACCACTGATTCGGCTCATGTGCCACTAAACAGAACGAGATCCCATTATTTTACAACTGAGGCAATGCTGTGTATTCAAAACACTTTTTTTAGATTATTCCACACGTACAACTGCAGGAGCTCGATGCAACCTTAGACAAAGGTTGAAGAAATGCGTGTCGCCCAACGGGTTTTAATTAACATCCACAATAAGAAAGACTGAAAAGGCTGTTGATGGGGGGTTTTCACACCTGAGAGTCCAGCAGACTCTGTTCGACTGGGGACCAAAATTGCAACATTTGTTTACGTTTTCAGCTGGTGTGGTTCATTTTCACATGGCACTGTCAAACGAAACAAAGCCTTACATCAAACCCTCGCCTGAGGTGGGGCTGCACCGAGAACCAGTGAAGGAAAACCTCTGGAGAAGACACCGAGCGCAGCTTCCTTCTTCACGAAATGTCAACTTTTAGAGGTTGAAGCCAAACGAACACTCTTCAACAATGGGCTCAACGTGAGAGGAAGATGAGGCAGAACCATGGAGTTGTTGTTTTTCACACGAGGCGGCGTGCACTGAGTAGCAGTGATGCTCACCTTATGCAGACGTCCAGCAAGGTATACGAGTAATTTTGTTGCTATTATTCGTCCGCTTCCTGCCTTTGGAGTGATCTCTGGTCCACTTGGCGTTCACGTATGAATTTGAACCTCAGAGCTCACTTAACCAATCAGAGACCCAGGTTTGTAGGTGGACCAGATGACATATTCACACCTCTCCAAACAAACAGGACTTTCTAGGTGGGCAATCCTGGTTTTTGAGGGCCGCAGCCCTGCATGTTTTACTTGGTTCTCTGCTCCAACACAACTGATTTAAATGAATAGGTGATTATCAGGCTCCTGCACAACTTGAAAGAGGTAATTCAATGACTGAAACAGGTGTGTTGGAGCAGGTAAAAAAGTAAAACATGCAGGGCTGCGGCCCTTGAGGACCAGGATTGCCCACCTCTACTCTAAGAAAACAAACTAAAATTCAAATAAAGCGAATTAAACAGGTTTGAATGCAACCTTAGTCAAAACTTATAATTTTTTTACACACAATCTAAAACAACGCTCAAACATTAAGCATTTTCCCACGTTTTTAAGACAGTTATCTGTTTCTGAACATTATAAACTTAAACCCGTCTCCTGTCACCAGGCGCTGAACTCACCGAGGAAGGTGTTGGCGATGAACTCTGACACCTGATTCCCTGAGCGGCTCGTCTCCGACAGCTGCGTCAGCTCGCGGTTCAGCATCCTCTTAAACTGCGTCGTGACAAGATGAAACAAACAGAAAGTAAAAAACACAACAGGAATATCAACTCTCCTCTTACTCATACACGCCAAAAACAAACAGTTTTAACTGAAAACTCATTTACTCAGGCCCAAGTGTTTTCACCAGAAGGAAGAGGAAAACTAAATCATTTTATGGCTTTCACTTCAGAAGTTACAACTAAAAGTTACAGAATATTGTCTGATTTTTTAAAGCAAAACTGTAAAAAAAATATATGTCTGCACACCTTTAAACATATGTCATCTGGAAAAAATATGCGGAAGGAGCTCTGAGATATTTTGCTGCTGTTATCCAACATGTGATAGTGCGCTGTAGTGATTTTAATCTGATGTTTACAATAATTTTGCAAATAATCCCTCAGTACTGAATATTTGATGTGTTGCAGGCTAGCAGGAAGGAGGAACAGGCTCCATCAAAGACTTTAATACATTAACCTGTCAACATGCAGGCCTCACCCTAAACCAAACTTATTTAAGTACTGCTCTTGAACCCTTTGGTGTACATTCACTTTATGTAAATCTGTCGATCTGAATGTTTAACTTCAGCAGTCACTTTTTGTAACTGAAATTAGAATTGAGCTACTGAAGTTAAAATAACCTATAACCATTAATTTTTTTTCCAAAGCTGCATATTGAATAGAAGGTAACTTGATTGAGTACAGCTGTGGAGTCAGAATAAAGCTCAGAGCTGATTGGCTGGCTGATTCTAGTCATTTAATCATACCATGTACAGGTGGGACACGAGGAGCTTGCCGCATGTTTTGGTCTCTGGAGAGTCTATAGATGAACCCAGTTGGTCCAAAGAGGTTCAATCAAAAGAAGACAACCAATCAAATTGTTTGAACAGCACATTATGCCAGTTCAAAGTCCCTGGCAGCGTGGGTCAGGCTATAAAGAAGCAGGAAGTAACCACAAACTGGGATTGATGGGCAAAATCTAAAAGCTGACAGACCAGGAGACACCAACTAAAGTGAGTGGTACCATGAGTTAAAGAGACAGAGGAGCAGAAGAGGGCATCTGTGTCGATTGGTGATAACATCCAGGTGTGAATTGAAGTCTAACAGGAAACAATGCAACAGAGTGCAAAGAAAATACATTATTGGTACATAGAGGCAAAAACAAATCGAAACTCAAACAAAACTCATTCATTTTTGCAAAAACCTAAACTAAAGACCCATTCAGCAAAAAACAAACAAAACCAAACAAAAAAATGAAACAAAGACTTAAGACAAGTCAGACTGAAAACAAAAGACGTACCCATGAAAGTCAGAAACTACAAGGAAAAAAAACCCTGTATTGTCAGTAAGTTTAATAAAAACCAAGGAGTTCAGTGTTTCTCCATTAACAGATTTGTGGTGGTTTCTACATGGATTATGTAACATCTTCAGCACGTGGTGAAGAGAGAAAAGCTTAGACTGCTGCAGTTTCTACACGACCACATGTGTAGAAGAACGTAAACACCATAATACCATCCTGAAGTTACAGCAGGCTCTGCTTCCCATGCACTTTATCCCACTGTTAGGACACTTTTCACACAGCTCTGATGAATTTGCTTTTACTTTTACGCCTCTTCCGTCTCCCTTCCACACACACGTTTCCATGCATGTCGACCCTCTCTGACCCCTGCCAAGCCTGCTCTGTGGATCAATAGATCCCCCGGCTGTAAACAAGGTAAGCCAGAATCACTCCCAGTCACTCACCTGTCTGAGTCTCCCGCACAGACAAAACCAGAACACCAATAGAAGCATGTCAGCCTACGCATGCTGGAGCGAGTAGCACCGAAAAAAACAAAAAACAATAATCCACACAATCTGTGGTAATTTGCCCTCAGCGTCCTGCAGCACAGACTGTCTGAACGAGGAAAGAAATCTGGAGGGAAGTGAAAGTTCCCAGAGTCCCAGGTGCTTTTTGTTGGATATGAATGAGAGAGGATGGGGGTGCTACAGGAACGTGGTGGTGGGGAGGCTGGAGAGGAGAGAGAGGCTGCAGAGTCTTATCCGGCTACCGTTACTGTCAATGAGGACGAGGAGAAAGAGGGAGAGGCTGTGAGGAACTCCCCTCCTCCCTGTCCTACATGCTCTCTCCCCTCTGTCCAATCTCATTCGTGTGACTTCAGGGGCCGGGCAGATGAGAGGGATCTGATTGGACGTTTCTGGGATGGAGGACCCACACGGGGAGGAGAAGCAGAAAGAAGTGATGCTAATTAACTCTTTCAGTGGAGAGAGGTGCCACTCGTGAACCCTGATAAACCACTTACCTTTTTGCATATGATTTAAATAGACTGTGTTTTAAATAAATACCTTTATTATTTTCTGTTCTACGTGACCAAAATGTGATGTGAAAACTAAAGATTACCACATTAGATGATTGCAGAAATATATATATATATATATATATAACATTTTTTAAAATCTGGCCAGATAGTTCACCTTATTGGACGCCATCTCGCTGACGGAGTTTCTGGTCTGGAGTGTCTCCAGCTGGTCCAGACACCAGTCCAGCTCCTCCAGTGTCTCCATCGCCAGCTTCTGATAGGGCTCCTCTGAAAGTCAGACACACGTCACAGGTTTAAAACGAAAGTTACGTATGTAACTACGGTTCTATGAATCCTGAATGACCGCCAGAGGGCTAGGGGTGTAAGAAAATATCGATACACTGAAATATTGCGATATTTCATTTACCGATACTGTATCGATATTCTAAAGCCCTGTATCGATTTTTTATTAAGGTTTAAAATGTCAACTTTCCTGTCAGCCATTCCTTTTTGTGTTGTAGTTCAGCCTCAGACCACTAGTTGGCAGCAGTGAGCCAGCCATTTGGCTCCTCTACCTCTTGAGCTTCTGAGCATTAGCATTGTAAGTAAACATTAGCTTCATGCTCAGATAGCTGAATCTGAGCGGAAAAGACAGACACCCTCTGCCTTCTAAGCTAAAGTAAGCTTACAAACAGTTACTTATTTGTCAGAATGTCTGTGTTTTAAGCCAAATTAAGTGTCTTGTGCGCTCTTTTTTCCAACTGTGGTCAGGTTTCACGTT